TTTCATTATTTTTAACTTTCAGTGTGTTGAAGAAAACGAGAAAGATTATTATTTTCACATAACAGAAGTCTGGAGAGTTTGTTTTTTCCTTTCATGCAGAATCAATTGGGACCTTTTTGCCGAGATATTAATAATAACGGCTGATAGTGGTCGGTTCAAGCCCTGCTCTCTCTGTGTGTGTGTGTGTGTGTGTGTGTGTGTGTGTGTGTGTGTGTGGTGTGTGTGGTGTGTGTGTGTGTGTGGGTGTTGTCTGAGTTGTGTATTGTTTCATCAGTCAAACTGGGATTGAGTTCATGTGTGTGTTTCCTCACACTTTCACCATCACTAGCTCCAATGTGGAAATAGAGAAATCACACTTCTACTGGCACGGACATCAATAGCTGTTCAGAGGAAGAGGAAATGAAAAGACAGCAGCCCTAAGACAAAGGGAGGGTTGTTTTGATGTAACTGTCTACGGTCAGTGGCGAAGGCGCAGCATCGGCCATTCTCAGAAACGCCATGTGCTGTATAGATCCAAAGGAATCAGGGCACGGATCTTTGAGTGTTCTGTCATCGCTGCGTCTTCATTCAGCACTGCACAAACAGCCTTCAGCCCATTTTTCTGCCTGCCTCTCCCTGATATTGACGACGATGCCGAGATGAAGCCAAGTCAACACCTGTCTTTCCTACTTGCATTCATTATTATAGAGAGGAGAGAAAGGCGAGGAGGCAGGAGGAGGCAGGAGGAGGCAGGAGGAGGCAAGAGGAGGCAAGGCGTGTCTGCATGTGAGAGTAGCTCAGAAATCCTAATTCACTGAGACGCTGTTATGTGTCATCATGCCTGTATTTTAAAGGGATAGTTCACCCAGAAATGAAAATGTACTCAATATCTACTCACCACTATGCCGATGGAGGGGTGGGCGACGTGTTTGTGTCCACAAAACACTGGTGGAGTCTCAGGGGTAAAGTTTATTAGAGCAGAATCCAATACAGTTGAAGTCAACGGTGAGTTCTTCTGAGATGTAATAAAACAACAGGAAAGCCATAACATGTCTTCATACTGCTCGAGTGGTGTCATCCAAAGTGATTGGCTAAAAGAAAACTGTCTTAATTGTTTTCATAATAGCTTCAGTGAGCGGCTCCGAGCAGCCGCTACTGAGCCACAACGATCTTCATCATCCCTGTTCAATGTTTCATGTGATAAGCGAGACAGAGATGCAGATGCTGTCTTATGTCTCCAAATTACAGAACAACACAGCTCTGGCTGCTTTAAGTCTTTCTCTGGTAACATGCATTCTCTCTCAGTGTAATGTTATTTCTCTTCCTGTCTTTGTGTTTCTCTGTGTGTGTGTGTGTTGTAGCGTTTGCAGCGAGGCCGTAGCGTACTTCCTGTCCCTGACATCAGAGAGCCACAGAGAGGCCTGGACCAACCTGCTGCTGCTCTTCCTCACCAAGGTGCTAAAGATCAGCGACGAAAGGGTGAGGAGCCGAAAAGTGTGTGTGTGTGTGTGTGT